CAAATATTCTTATTTAAGTTAGTTTATGAGAAAAAGAAAAGTATATGTTACTAGAAAGCAAAATATAGGTAATACCTTTCTTTGGCTAGCTAAATATTCTCTACAGTGCAATCCTTTTTGTGTCTTGACATTACAACATGCACAACAAAGAGAACTGAGTATTTTGAAAAGCTTTTACTACAAAAATACTTTATATTCAATAGGGATGCACCGATACAAAGTACCGTACTCGGTACAAGTACAGATACTTTTCCAGCTCCAAGACTACACTAGAGAAAAATTCAAAAATTAGGAGGCAGCTGTCATTTGTAAGGAGCACACAGAGCTCCTGGGATTTGTACATCTCTATTTTAATGTATGATTTTGTTTTTATAAATATATATAAAGGGATGCACAGATACCCTTTTTGCAAGTACAAGTACTGATACATGTCAAAGTTCTCACAGATACAAGTACTGATACATTTTTGTTTATTGTAATGTGACAGTTTTTCTAAAACAATACAAACTAATGATTTCAGGACAGTGGTGGAGCGCCAGAGCCAGGTCCCAGCTGCAACAGCTGCAACCCTGGTAGTTCTCATGAAAATGCCAAGTATCGGCACTGGTATCTGAACGGGTATCGGTGCATCCCTAATATTCAACTACCGTATATACTCGAGTATAAGCCGAGATTTTCAGCCCAACCCTTTTTGGGTGAAAAGTGCCCCCCTCGGCTTATACTCGAGTCAGCGCCAGCGTGTCATCTTACTTACCTCGCCGAGCGTCGCGTCACTGCTGCTCCGGTGTGCGGCACTCCGTGCGGGGTCATCTGGCAGTCTCCGGGTCCTAATTTAGGTGGCCGGAGACTGCCAGATGACCCCGCTCGGAGCGCCGCACACCGGAGCAGCAGTGACGCTACGCTCGGCGAGGTAAGTAAGAAGAAGAAAAACCCCCCCGCAGCGGCCAGTCAGGCAGGGGAGCAGGGATGAGTCAGCGGCGCGCTGATCAGGCGAGAGGAGCTCCAGGTGGGGTTGTAATTTAGCGGGCAGGCACCTCTGAGCCAGCTAAATTAGGACCCCACCTGGAGCTCCTCACACTGGACCAGCGCGCCGCTGACTCGTCCCTGCTCTCTCCGTGATGTGATGATCCGATCACCGGCACACAGTGAGTGAGGGGAGGGAGGGAGGGTGGGTAGAGAGAGAGATTCATTAAGCAATTATATATGTATTGTCTGCACTGTATTAGCAGTATATACTCTATATAGAGTATATACTGCTAATACAGTGCAGACAATACATTTACAATTATACTAACATGAATGTATTAAATGATCTGTATGTAGCCCTGTACTATGGATCATTTAACCCATTCATGTTAGCAGAGGATCATTGTAAATGTATTGTTGCAGGCACTCTATATGTACATGTACTATATACTACATATAGAGTGCACTGAACAATAGATTTACAATTATCCTCTGCTAATATGAATGGGTTAAATGATCCGTAGTACATGATATGTAGCCCTGTACCCCCTTTTCCACTTACAGAGCTAGGTTATTTTTCTTTTAAATAAATATTAATGTCATTTTATTGGTATCTATCTACCAGTAGCTGCCTCATTTCCCACCCTCGGCTTATATTCGGGTCAATACTTTTTCCCAGTTTTTTTTGCTAAAATTAGGTACCTCGGCTTATATTCGGGACGGCTTATACTCGAGTATATACGGTACATAAAAGGTATCACCCATTTTTTTTTTTTTTTACTTTCCTGTTATTATTTATAGCTAGCACAGTACAAAACTTAAAGCAGAACTGAAGCCAAAACCTTTTTTTTTTAACTTTTGGATAGAGTTATATCCCATATCAGCTTTTTTTTGCCATGTGTCCCATTGGGGAGATTTGCTTTCACTTCCTATCTGATAGCCATAACAGGACGTGAGAGGAAATCGGTCCAAAAGATGGGAGATTCCTGGTGGTCAGCAGGGTCAGAAGAACTAGTGATCTAATTGTCAGATTTCCCCTCTATTCCTGTGATAACAGTCACCTCCTTAAAGAAGAACTCCAGGCAGTCTATAAATTAATCCTTGCACTGCTCTGACACTTTCAGGCAGTGTTAGACTTTGTTGTTAAGCCCCACCACCAGATTTTCTTACTGGCCCATCCTAATGGGCGGCCACACTGGCCAATAGAAATGTGAAGGAGACAGGAAAGGGTTGCACAAACTTTACCAGTGACTGCTGAATGTGCTTCTAGGTGCCTGCACTTTATACCCATATCAATTATTTTTTTGTTTGGTATGACAAAGTCTCTTTAAAGGAATGGAACGTCAAAAACATAAACACATAAAAGTTCAGAATAATGAGCTTCCTAGTCCAATAGGTATTTCTGATAAACTATCATTATGATTTTCTCATTGCAATGTCCCAGCTAGACCCTGGATAACTGTGGGCACTCTGCTCTGTGCTAATTGCGTTGCCACCCACAGTCTAATTCTAAACTTCCATTTAGTCTTCCAACTGGCGATACGTTCAAGATATGTTTGTGAGGTTCATAGCTATGTTCTGGCTGAATACACCCACTCCCATATGTTACCATGTAATAGTGTCATTTGGTAGAGCTAGGAGAGCTATAGTGAAAGTTTGGAGTTTTCGTTATTAAGCCTTTTATATATTTAAAGTGTAAAAAGGGGCACTCTGTATTTATTTCTTTACATTTGTGAATAGAACATATTTAGTATTAAAAGGTCCATATTATCAGTCATCAATAAGTGTTAAGTGTAGCACTCCCAATACAAAACCTATCCTTTATCTCCTTCCCAAGCTTTACACAACTGACTTAAGCCTTGTTCACATCGATGTGTCATAACACACGTGTTACCACTCATCAAAATGCATGTTGCTTGGCATCCCATTGATCGGTGTTGAAGAACATTATGAAAAATTGTGCAGGAACTTTCTTTTATCAGTCATTCTTCATTGTGGGGCCCATAGAAGTCAATTGGAGCAAATGAAAATGCATGACACATGGGTTTTCATGCACTGCAAATACGTGGTTACTGAGACCCGCTGCTGGCAACAGGCTATGTGCCCTAACCTAGCTTCAGTTGGAAAATGACAGGCTCTTCTCACACCTTCCTACAGTATATGCTGAGCACATCATCCAAGAAAACACACAGCAAAAGCACAAATGGAAGCGCTAAGGTGTGAAGCCAGACCTAAACCAGACCACTTTATCATTCCAGGCAGAGGGTGTTTCCATGCAAGCATACACTGCTGTGGCTTCCAAATAGAAAGCATGCACACTGCTGTACTGCCCACCTCAACTCTCCTTAGCAATGTTACACAATCCTGTGTCACTGCTTCCCACCCTGAAGTGACTGCATGCCCAGGATATCATAGCAGAGGGTGACGTTATCTGCCCACTTTACAAATTGAACCCATACACAATCAGAGCAGACACACATTGTCAGAGCACATGCAATCTATTACACACACATATATATTACACAAACACAGCACACACAGTCAGAATGCATGCACTCACATAAAGCACACACCGTCAGAGAACTCAGAGAGACCACACACATGCACAGCACACAAATTTAGAGCACTGGCATAGCACAGAGAGCATACATAGTACACTGGGGACAGAGTTAGAGCACACAAACACTTCACAATGCCACTTATAGAAATTTCGGTATGTGCTGTTAGAAAAGCATGGCAGCAGTATGACGGAATCGCTATTTGCGCTCATAATATAGCAATAATGTTCCTCTTGTATATAAAATACTGATTATCAATAAGTACACACCGGTGGGAGATTTCACTGATGTATGTTTGCAAGGTTGGGGTCAGGGGGTCTCCTGAAACACAGTGACTTTGTTTGTGCATATGAAAATAACTCAATAACTAGAAGATTGGAAGAACTTCACCTGTTTCAGGCTGGCAGCACTATGCCACTGCCTTGTAGTTAGTCATTTTGTTTTGCCATTGTGAAATTAAGTCTATGAGATTTTAAAGGATCCCTTTCATGTGCCTGGAGTTCTGCTACAATCTGTGAGCTCCTTAAAGCATATCTACACACGTGCATTTTTGGCTACATCGACAGATGTTTTTCTGTACTTGCTGAAAATGTTCTTAACCTGAAAAATGAAAACGAATGCAACCACCACATCTAAGTACTGGAAAGCTGCAATATATTACATATTGTTCTTGGTGTAGTTATACTTTAAGTTGGTCGTTGGGCTGCCTAACAAGTGTTATCAAATAGACAGTCCAACTAATGGAGCACAAACCATGGGCTTACAATGCTGCTTCTAATTGGAAATTCCTATCCTTCTCAGCTCCAACTAGTGGCCAGAATGCTGTCGGAGCACTAAATCTATTTACCGTATATACTCGAGTATAAGCCGAGTTTTTCAGGCATTTCCCCAGTTTTTTGTGGTAAAATTAGGTACCTCGGCTTATATTCGGGACGGCTTATACTCGAGTATATACGGTACTTAAGAAAACTGTAGAGAGTGAGGTATGATGCCAAACATGCTACAATCGATTTTGAGTTTACATGCACTCTAAAAAACTTACTCTTGCAGTGGGGCTACCCCCCACACTGCAAGGGTTAAGAGCTTGTTTGATCTAGGGGGCTCAAATAAAGCAAATAAAGCTGATATACTCACCTGATCCTCGGTCTCATCCAGCCTCCAGCAATCTAAAGACTGCTGATATCATCATGTCTAATGCAGTTCCACTGGCCTGCATTAGACGTAAGGATGCCGCGGAGGGGGAGAGAGGTGAGCGCTGTCCTCCGTAGGACTGAGGATCAGGTGAGTATATCTGCTTTTTTTTACCCCCTAAATAAAATGAGCACTTAACCATTGCAGTGCAGGGGTAGCCCCACTGCAAGGGTAAGTTATTTAAACTCCTGTTCTTTAAGGTAAACTTACAAATGCTCCTGCAATTAACAAACACACATCCACTTACTTCAAGCTGGCAGAAAACAGATAATTCCATCAACTTACAGGCAAGTTAGTGAAAACTTGAAATGTGCTTCGTAAAAAATTAATCAGATCCATTAGGTAGCCGCTGGCCCTTCCATCTGGCTCCGCCATTGTCCAGTCATAGTCTGCGAGCTGGATGAATTCATCAATTTTTTGGTTGAGTTTGGTGTATATTTCCTCTTCGGCTGCATGCCTCGCATCCTGAACAAAACAGTGCGCAGGTTACAGAGTGATATCCATTACAATCAATCAAAACTGGATGCTGCCTGAAACTCCAGTGCTTCTCCTACATGACAAATAGAAATGTGCTTTTAAATTTAGATCTACAGTCTTCCAGCTCATTAGTAATATATTGAAGATAATCAATCAAAGTGTCGTGGTAACAGCAGTAACTCACTTACCACTGACTTGCCAGTCCATCCTTTACTAGTGAACAAAACGCCCAAATTAGCAGGCCTGCTATAGATCATTTTTAAAAGCTTGTTAATCAGTAATGAAATGTCCTCAATAAGGGAGCCTCGTGGGTATAGAAAGCTCATCTTCTGTGTGCAGGTAGTACAAGCTTTAGCAAAGTCAAATGAAAGTTATAGAAAGCACCCTTCTGTTACCTATATTACAATGTGAAGTATCAAACCTGTACCAACATTTCAAATAAAAGAGAACTGGTGTAATAAGAGTTAAACTAAACAGATCTCAAAGTGGAAGTGAGAAACGAGTGAAATAATAAAAAACATGATCCACCAGAAATCCAGTGTGATTCTAACTTCCTGTTTGAGCTTACAATGTAGTGCCTTATAGTATTATGAATCTTGCTTGCTGGACTACAGAACTCGTCTCTCCTCCACCCTCCTCTGTCCCTCGCATGCATACATTGATTTATTTCCAATCTAAATAATGCTGCTGCCTTGCTTTCCCCAGCATCTACCCATACACTGTGTGTAGGGAAAGTGCTCTAGGGACATGTAGCTCTGGGGGAACGTGCCTACGTTAACAGAAAATGAATTTCCAGCAGCTGCCCTTGCAAGAATTTTACAAGCCTGGTCATGTTGTCACAGAGAGGTGCAACACAATAGAGCGAATTGGGTCGAAAGCTGATTAACCTAAGGCTCTGTTCACACGGGACAATCTGGCATTCCTGCAGCAAGAACCGAGAATGATTGTCGCTGAATGCAGGATAGATGCATCCACTGACAATCATATATCACAAGCCACATGCAATCATACATGGACTGCAGCTTACAGATGCGGCCGCTGTCACCCAGTCATTTATTTCAATGTGTATAGTGGCTGCATCTAAACGGGACACCTGGCATTCCTGCTGCAATAATCCTCAGGTTCTTGCTGCAGGAATCTCAGAACGCTCTCCATGTGAATGGGGCCTAAAGCATGTTTTCAGATTGCGGGAAGCAACTGGAGGAAACCCACAAGACCCCAGAGCAGCAAAGCCATTGTGTTGCCCTTAAACCAATAGGCTATTTGGTTGTAGTAATAGACAATGCAAAAGGTATGTACTGTCTTTCTCCACAATCAGCAATGTTATATAATCTGTAAAGAATATGAATAGGTTTCTAAAGCAGGAGCTATCCCCAACTAGAGGAAAGCCTATCAACTTCAATCACTGGGGATATGAGTCACCCACCCAGCTCTGCACATTACCACACTAATAAATACATTCTCCTTCTCTATAATGAAAGTGGAAAATCCCTTTAACCTTTACATAGCTGGTTATGTCACTTTTGAGGAGTATGACAATAAAACTCACCTTGAAAGTGGACAGGCCATAAAGTCTTGCAGTGTGAACAGTCTCGGGTGAAACATTTGTGATATTGGTAATAAAGTCCTCCAGGTATTTACAGGCTTGTTCCAGGTGTGTGGTGTTTATGATGATCTGCACAAGCTACAAAGCAAAAAAAAAAATCTGATAATAGGCATGTACCGCCCGGTTCCACCTGATTTTATTCTCAAGAGGTCCTGTCTTTCCTATACTGCTGTAATATACAGTAATTACTGTGTGACAGGATTCAGCCATGCTCCGTATAGCCCAGAGCTGTGCTCCGAGAACAATACGGCTTCCTTAATGCTGCGAGAAACACCCAAACCTTGAGGTCAAGCAAGTTTATGTAAGTCATTTAAATGTTTAAAGAACATGATGAGGAAGACATTGAGCTATGTGAAATGAGCGTCTTGGTAAATGTTACATTTACAAATAGAAACAGACAGATTTGTT